GTCCCAGGCTCAGGGAATTCTAGGGGGAACGGGGGATGTGAAAGGGCACATCCTAGGTGTTATCTCCTGGACACAGGTAAGATGGAGGTTGTAGCTCACTCCTGCAGTCGTCTTTCCTCCCTGGGTTAGTTCTGTTTCAAAGCCCTTCACACTCAGCAGAATCTCACCCCATGCTTTCTTCCTCCCTTCCCCAACCTCTTCCCCCCCGGACCCCCATGTCCCCCCACACACACACACCATACTGGCTCTTTCTGCCCCAGGGAGTCACATCTTCCAGTTCCTTCAGTCCTAAGCATGAGGGGCCAGTTCCCCAAGCCCTCTGCCTCCTCCCCACAGGTATCAAGCTAGACTTCAAGAGTCTCAAGGCTGTGGGCCCCTCCCTGGACCTCCTGCGGCGGCTGACTGATGATGGGAAGGTCCGGAGACCTGTGTGGATCAATGCTGACATCCTGAGGGGCCCCAACGTGCCCATCTCCATCGAAGTCAATGCTACACAGTGAGTGTTCCCCTCTCTGCCCCAACTGTGTCCAGCCCTCTTCCCTCAATATTTGGCACAGGAAGTGCTCAGGGGACCTTTCCTAAGTTTGCCTCCAGACATACCATACACTCTGACCTCTGAGCCTTCGCACAGTCTGTTCCCTTTGCCTCAAATGCCTTTCCATTTCCTGATGAACCTTCACGGTCATTACCTCCTCCAAAAACTGCCCCAACATCCCAAGCTGACACCTACACATAACACAACCCTGATTTCATTGGGTATACTCTGTAACTCCAGTGACCAGGACAGGGCTTGACCTGCTAGAAAAGTCTAAAATGCTGATTCCTTGCCCAGCCCCCATGAAATCCCAGCACTGCCACCCACAGCCTTCACATACACCAGCTGCATGCTACTGTACAGTTTACAAAAGAGGACCACATAAAGGGATAGAATAGTTCATATTTGATTCTTACATAGCATCTCTAGGCTAGTATTTTCCCCCCATTTTGCAGATGAGAAAGCTGACAACTGAGGCTTAATTTATTGAATGTTTATTATGTGCCCCAGGCACTGTTTTAAGTACTTTAGTTGTAGAATACTGTTCAACTCTTACAATGAGAATGAGGTAGGTACTGTTATTTTCATTTTATTAGGACAGGAACTATCTCCACAAAGTTAAATGACCTGCTTAAGTCTAGTAATTGGCAGAGCAAAGATTCAAAGCAAGACCTTTGATTCTAAGCCCTTGTTCTCTATCATCCATCTGTCCATCCATCCATCTGTCCGTCCATCCATCTGTCCATCCAACCAGCCAACAATCCACCCATAATGTTAGTGATTCTCAAACTGAGGTGCACTTGGAAAGCAGCAGTTTGAAAAATGTACTCAGTGGCACAAGGTAAATATGGTCTATCTTCTTGGAGTATTGATTTTACTCAGTAGTTTGGGGATTATTTGCCTATTGAAATTTGCATCAGGGCAAAATCTGAATAAAATTTTAAAATAAAATCTGAAGCTTCAGAGACTCTCATAGCAGGCAGAGCACACATCTACCTATGGCTCTGGATTTCATTGCCTCTGTTCATAAGGGGTGTTGAAGAGGCCCTACCCACCGCTTCCCCAGAGGGGTGCCATCTTTGAGAATCAAAGAGGTTGAATGATCTGCCCAAGGTCACAGTCAGAATCTGAACCCAGAACCCCCTGACTCCCAAACCCATGCCCCATTTGTGGGGCCTTGAACAAGCCACTTCTGCTGTTTAGCACTCTGCTTCCGCCTTTATATCATAGACTCGATGGGCCCTGCCAATTTCTAGCACAGCAATGGGAACCCAGGAGATGAGGAAGGGGCCAGTGAGGCTCTAAAAGACAGGTGTCTCTGATTCTCTGCAGGTTCCTGGCCTTGGTCCAGGAGAAGTATCCTGAGGCCACCCTGTCTCCAGGCTGGACCACCCTCTACTTGCCCCTGTTCCCAAATAGCACGTATACCCGGGCCATGGTAGAGAAGATGCAGGGGCTGGTAGGAGTGCTGCCGCAGAGGGTCACCTTCCCTGTGCGGGCTGTCATGGTGCGGGCTGCCTGGCCCCAATTCAGCTGGCTGCTGGGGCAATCAGACAGGTAAAAACTCCCAGCCCCCTGGCACAGCCTCTGCTCCTGCTAAACCCACCCTTAGGCACTCGTGCTCCCAGGAAGATCCTAGATGCTCATGGCTGGAAGGGTCTTAAAGATTCTAGTCTAACCCCCACTGGTGCTCACATCCTGTACAATGTCCCTTTCTGCTTGTATACTTCTGTGATGGGCTGTTCATGATTGATCACCTGAGGCAGCCCATCCAGTGGTGGATAACTAACTCTGCCTGTTTGAGTTTACACTAAGATGCAATTTGCCTCCTCACAGCTTCCTCCCAGGGGAGCCAGCTGTGGGGCTGCACAGATTGTACCTGCAACCTCTGTCCCAGGATAGTGCCCCATCCCTCCTGTAGCTGCTCCCAGCTGCCCAGCCCTGCCTTCAGCAGCTCCCCACAGGAGTCCTGAGGCTTCCCCCTTCCTCCACACCTGACTTCTTCCCCCATCTCTTGTGCCCATCCCATCCTGTCCTTGTTCCTTTCCTAAAACAGGAAATAGGCATCTTCTCCTTCCTGGGCTTCTGCTTTCAGTTATCATTCCCAAAGCCTCTGGGGCTTCTTCTGCCTCCAGGAAGTGGGTAGTGCTCTGGAAGAAGAGGCTGGTGGGAAGTCAGATGCTCTGCCCCTACCCAGCAAGGGTCCAATTCCAAGCACAGGGACTGAGGACCCAGCTAGGTGTAGGCAGACACTGAGCCTGCTCTCTGGGCCCCAGATACAGCCTGACACTGTGGCAGGGCACCTCAGACCCAGTGTCAGTGGACGATCTCCTCTACATCCGAGACAACTGTGCCACCCACCAAATCTACTATGACCTCTTTGAGCCTGTCCTGTCACAGTTCAAGCAGCTTGCAAGTAAGGAGTGGTCTGGGAGGACTGGGAAGGTAGCAGGGCTGGGTTCTGCACAGGGCAGCACCTGGTAGACAAGAGCAGAGCTGGAGGGGTGGGGCACCAAAAGGGAAAATCCCAGGTGGAACAGGGAAAAGGAATCATTTGAGGCACCTGTTGTGTGCCAGACCCTGGTATCATACGCTATCTGAGCTTCACATACCCATGGAGCAGAGATGCCATTTTTATACAGGAGAACAGGTTCAGAAGAGTTAAAAAATGTATACAAAGTCATTCAGCTTGCAATGGCACAGCTCAGATTGGAACCCAGAAAATTTCAAACCCCACATACCTTCCCTTGCAGCACAGTTTCTTTGTGGGTTACTCCAACGTTTCAGAGAGGCCCCTCTGCTGTACCCGCAAATCAATGATCCAGATGCTACCTGTTCCCTTGTTCAAAACCCTCATTCCCTTGACTCCAAACCTAGGAGAGCCTACAGTTAGGCCATGGACCCATCAGATTCAACATTCCTCCCCTGGAGCCATCTAGGTGAGGGGCAAGAATAACAGCTTTGGGACCAGACAAACCTGGCTCCATCAGGTTCCAATCCAGCAACTCTGCTATTGGCTGTAGGATCTTGGGCAAGTCACTTCCTGTAATCTACAAAATGGGCAATTACATCTACTCAGCAGGGTGCTGTGAGGGTTAGAAAGCGTGTGCCATGGCACACAGAAGGCACTCTGTGAATGGTGGCCACCTCATCTTGACAATTTGTGGCCCCACAGTGAATGCCACACGGAAGCAAAGCTACTACACAGGGGGCAGCCTGATCCCTCTTCTCCAGCTTCCCGGGGGTGATGGTCTGAGCGTGGAGTGGCAGGTTCCTGACATACAGGGCAATGGAACAGCAGCAGCAGTTCAACTCCCAGGTGAGGCCTGCAGCCCCTGTGCTCCCAGCTAAACTGCAGGGGCTCCCCTTAGCTTGGGGCAGGGACTCTATTACTACAGCAACCCACTCACTAGGAGGTGGAAGCGGCAAGGATGGGGTTCCTGGCCCTCAGACCAGCACTCTTGAGCCCTTAGCCACATTGCGCTGTGAGAGAGGTGGGCACAGCCCCCAGAGCTGAGCCACTAGCAACGGCCAAGAGCTGAACTGGCAGCTTCTCATGTCGTTCTGATGAGCTCCAGGCACATGAGAGAGCAGCTTTTCACCTGGAGCCCAGACCCAGTCCACAGATTCCAGACAGAAGAGGCACCAGCTCCTCATCCTTGGCTGCCCATTACCTCCCTGCTGCCCCTTTAACAAGGGCCTCTGACACCCCCACAATAACCGAACCCCAGTCACTGTTGCCTCCTCTGCTTCTTCCAGAAAAAGAAGGCATGATCCTGCTGAATGTGGGCCTCCAGGAGCCCGCAGCTGGGGACGCCGTGCCCATCGTACACGCCCCAGGTGGCCCTGCCCTGACTCTGGAGTCGTGCCTGCTGCAGCTCACCACACACCCTGGACGCTGGGGAGTCCATCTGCACATGGCAGAGCCCACAGCCCTTCGGCCATCCCTGGCCGTGCTGGCCCACCTCTCCTACCTGGGTCACCTTTCTCGGCCTGTGTGGGTAGGGGCCACAGTCTCGCACGGCAGTTTTACAGTGCCTGGCCACGTAACTGGCAAGGAATTGCTTACAGCTGTGGCCCAGGTTTTCCCCCATGTGACAGTGGCACCAAGCTGGCCTGAGGAGGTACTAGGCAGCGGCTATAGGGAACAGCTGCTCACGGATATGCTGGAGCTGTCCAAGGGCCTCTGGCAACCTGTGTCCTTCCAGCTGCAGGCCAGATCACTGGTCCAGAGCATGGCTGGAGTCGTGGCCAGGTTACTGGCAGCCTCCCCCCGGGCCACCGTCACAGTGGAGCACAGCCCTGCAGAGGGCAGCTATGCATCTGTGCGGACAGAGCTGCTGGCAGCCAGGGCCGTGGACAGGACCCGGGTCTACTATAGGTTGCCTCAAAGTTACCGCGAAGACTTGCTGGCAGATGTTGGCAGAAACTGACCACCCAGTGGTGCTGGATGGGAGGACCTCTTGGTCAGGCTTCCCATGGGGGGCTCAGGGAGAAATAAATGCCTTGGCCTTCCTCAATGCACTGCATGCGTGTCCTTGGCAGAATGGAGTGGCAGTGAGGTGGCTACTGAGGGTGCCTAGAGGGTCTGGAGGCTGGGGGCCAGATCATTTCGGTTGTCCAAAAGGAACTTCTCACAGGCCTTGAAGGTATTGTAGAACTCCGAAGAGAGGCCGGCCACATTCGTGGTCACGTAGTTGAGAAAGCCCGATGTGGCCTGGTTGTAGTAGGACACCTGCAGGACAGGAAGGCACACTCAGGGAGGCTAGGCTGGGAGGGAGTGGGAGCCAAGAGGGCATGAGGCCTTGGGAAGTCAGCTCTGCTTGCCTGCTGAGAGGGCAGCAGCCTGGGGTCTTCGAAGGCTACATGACTGGCAGGCATGACCTCCTCCAGCAGGTTTCCCTGACCCCTCCCCCTGGGTACTGACAACCCTAGCTTCCCTGTCACCACACACTGTACTGTCATCGTGTGTCTCCTGCCAACTAGGAGGCCCTGGAAGACAGGCTCTCGAAACCCAGTCCCTAACACAGAGTCCTGTTTAAGTGAACATCTATTAGGGTCTTAGAGACAAGTTACAACTAAGTCCAGGGATTGTCCTGAGAAGCTCATCAGTTAAGTGTATTACTTAAACAAGTCTCAGGGCCCCAACAACAGCTGTGAGCCAAGGAGAGGAGCTGTGTATAACCACCCTTGCTCGCTCTCAGCCCCCTCCACCACATTTTCAACACCGACTGCCCTGCTGAGTTTGATGGGCCCTGAGAACCATATAAAACCTTCCTAGACAAGAAGGAATATATAAGTAAATAAGATGAATTTTAGATTAGAACCTAGGCCTGCCCTCAGCATGCAGAGCTTTTCCCAAGGCCCTACAGTGGCTTCTCTGCAGAGGTTAGATTTTAATGAAGGCTTATTTCTAGCCCCTGACATTCTTCGGTTCCCCTGAGCTGGAAGAGCCCACTGTCAGGCAGGGGGTGGGGACCCAGGGCCGGAATCGTGTGAGTCAGTGCTGAGCTCTGTCCATGCATGTGGATTGGAATGGGGGAAGAGGACACCGGGCCTCACCTTGGTCATCTGGTCCCCCTCGCGCCAGAAGCAGAAGCCTGAGCAGAGGGTCTCCCCACGCCTGTAATCTGGAGTCTCGCAGTGTGTGGGCAGCGTAACTGACCTTAGTGCAATGACGTAGGGGTCCCTGGATTAAGGGAAGAGCAGGGAAGGAGAAGATGAGGGTTGTCTTGCCCAACCCAGGCTCTGGAATCCCCTCTGGCACTTATCCAGCTTTGGAGCTCCCCTGGGCACTGACACCAGAGTCTAAAGACACTTAAACTCTTAAAGGCCCCATGTCTGGCTCCAGGCCAGGCTGGAGAGAGGAGGCACCTGAGTGTTAACAGCACTGCTTTTGCCAGAAGCCAGCGTGACTTCACTGCAGATTTTCTGAAAAAGCCCCTTAGGAAGGAGTGGTGGGCTCTGGGGTTTTCATGCTTCATCTTTCTGTGCCTGTCTAGCAGAAGTGAGGCCGTCTGTCCCGGCATCCTCACCGTGGCACAGCTGGCAGACTCACCACCCTCCAGCCAACACAGGGCTGTCAGAGGATGGTGGCGCCTTATGAGAAATGGCCTTGCCACCTCAGGGTCAGAGACTACCCTGCTTTACAGCATGAGTGGCCAGAGGGGAGGTGTGTTCCCTGTCCATCTTACCCAGGGCAGCCCAGAAAGCCAAGTGGCTCCTGGGGTGCCACAGCCAACAGAAAGCAGAGAGCTGACTCTAGGCTGATGATCCCTTCCCTGGGGAGAGGGGTGATTCCTGCCCACCTCCCACCCCAGCAGGCAGGCACCCACCCGTTGTCGCAAGGCTTCCGCCGGGAGGCCAAGATGACAAAGTCCTGGGGCTTGGGGTCGCCGCCAAGGCCAGGGCTGATGACATGGTAGATGGCGTCGTCTTCATCCACCTGCTGCACTAGTTCCACACTCCTGTGGGGAGGCCCAGAGCTCAGGGTCCAAGAGTGTCACACCAGCTCCTTGTAGGAGAGCAGTTCTGGCCCAGCCCTCCATGCTTCAGCCTCCCTGAGTCAATGCTTGGGGGACACTTCAGCCCCTACATGGCTCAACAGGGACCACAGGAGGGCAGGAAGGCCCTGCCCAGGTGAGCACATGTACCCACATATAAGCAAATACATACACAGGCACAGACACGGGAACAAACAGATGCAGACACAGGCACGCACACACCTGCGGGCAAACCCCCAGGCCTGAGAAGGGGCCCTTCCCCACCCGCGCCCTGGCCCTCACCGGTAATGCTTGTCCCACTCGGGCCTCCGACGCAGGTCTGAGAGCAGCAGGAAGGCGTGGGCTGCATCCACATTCACCAACATCTCCATGTGGAAGGAGAGGTACTTGTCATCCTCCAGAGTGTACAGAGCAACCTGATGGGGCAGAGGGCAGCCTCATTCATGCATCCTCCTTCCCAGACTGTGCTGGTAGAGGGGGAGCTGACTGGGATGCTGGCGGCCAGGGCTAGAAGCTCAGAACTGCCACTGACTTGCTGTGTGACTGCGAATAAGTGACTCAACCTCCCTGTGAAAGTGGCTGTTGAGAGAATTCAGCACAGTGGACAGAGAGCTGTCTTAAAAAGCAGTGACTGCCCGGCCGGGTGTGGCTCAGCGGTTGAGCATCGACCTAGCATCCAGGCGACCGGGGTTCGATTCCCGGTCAGGGCACATGCCCGGTTGCAGGCTTGATCAATGACTCTCATCACTGATGTTTCTATCTCTCTCCCACTCCTTTCCTCTCTCTGTAATCAATAAAGATATATTTTTTTAAAAAAAGCAGTGACTGAGCCCTGGCCAAAGTGGTTCAGTAGGTTGGGCATCATCCCGTGCACAGCTTTGACTCCAGGTCAGGGCACATGCCCGGGTTTCAGGCCTGATCCCCAGTGGAGTGGGGGGATACAGGAAGCAGCTGATCCATGTTACGCTCTTACTGCGATGTTTCTCTCCCACTCCCTTCCTCTCTCTCTAAAAATCAATTAAACTATTAAAATTTTTAAAAAGGAAGCAGTGACTGAGGCAACAATGGAATGAGTCCTCAGAGCCAGGTGCCTATCCAACCCCCTAATGTCATGGGTAAGAAAGTGACTCGTCCCAGGGCACAGGCAAGAGTGGCAGAGCTTGCCGTCCCTCGGCCCATGCTGGTCCACTGCCCCCCACCCACCCCTGCTATGACTCACAGTAGAAGGAGCAGAGAGAAGGAGGAATCAGTTGGGCAAAGAGCAACAGGGATAAGAGATGGGGGCAAGAAGGTAGGCAGGCATGAGAGAAGGATTTGGGGTTCTCTGCTCTGGGCCCTGTGAGGGCTGGTATGTTTCCGTGACTGGGTTGGCTTCATTATCTCATCCCAGGCCTTTTAAGAAACCCCCTTCTGCCCAGCTGCCGTGGTTCAGCGGTTGAGCATCGACCTATGATCCAGGAGATTGAGGTACAATTCTTAGTCAGGGCACATGCCGGGGTTGCAGGTTCAATCCCCAGTAGGGGGCATGCAGAAGGCAGCTGATCAATGACTCATCATTGATGTTTCTATCTCTCTCCCTCTCCCTTCCTCTCTCTGAAATCAATAAAGACATAAAATTTTTAAAAAATGTTTTTAAAAAAAAGAAAGAAATCCCCTTCTGACATTAGTGACTTAAGAGACTTCCTGTTGCTTGTAGTCAGCTACCTCTGGTTGCTCAGAGAAATAGTGGGTGGGTGGGGTCAGCTACCTGGTTGATCTCCGAGGACAGCACCCAGTTATCCTTGGCCGCGAGCATCTTCAGGGAAGAGATGTTGTTGTAGCTCAGGTACACCTGGACAGAGCACACAGAGAAGCCTCACCTTCCCTCCCACAGGGCTTGGTGCTGAGGCCATGCTGAGGTGGGGGAGAAGAACCTGGATGGTGAAGGAAGGTGGGTGCTAGGCTTTGGGGAAAGAGGCCCAGGTCTGGAGAGATGCTCCCAGTGACCCTGGATAAGCCACTCCTCCTCTCAGTTCCCTTCTGCCAAACAGGGACATAGGAAAACCCTTTGCTAATTGTATGAATCTTGAGGTGTTAGCATTCCATTCTCTTCAGGCCTACCTCCAAACCCGCTCTGACAATAGGGAAGGGTTGAGGGCCCCCAGTGGGCCTGAGGACTCTCCCCTCAGAGCTAAGGGCCTTACCTGGTTGCTAGGGTCCCAGGGAACAGAGAGAGGCATCTCCTCCTGCTTACAGGACACAATGTACTTCCTAGGAGAGAGGGAAGATGACAACCTTGATCCTTTGGAAGCCCATCTCTTTGGACAGACCTCGCTGCATGCCAACTGTGTGCCAAGCCCTGTACCAGGGAGACTGGATGGGCACACAGGACACAGCAGTGAGAACATACAAACTCAGTCAGAGGTAGGACAAGCCAGGGGGAAGGATGCTGGTGCTCATGCTTGGTAAAGGCTCAGTGTTCCACACCCTGGCTGAGCTAAAGCAACTTTGTCCTTATGCCTCAGTGTCCTCATCTGTGAAATGGGATCTGTAGTCACATCTGCCTCATAGGATCATCCTGAGAACAGTGATTGGCATATAAATGTTCCATAAAAACACACTTTTCTTATTAGCAACACGTGGTGGTGGTGACCCCTGGTATGTTCACAGCTCTTCTACATTTGTAAAGTGTTTCCTTAGCAGTGTCATTCAGACCTGGGTTTTTGTCTTGAGCTATCACTTCTCTCAGGGCCTTTCTTTCTTCATCTGCCAAATGGGCATCAGAGTCAATGGAAGGAACAAAAGATTTTAAATTGGCCAGACCCAGCCAGGTTCAAATTCTCACTCCACCGGTCATTCCTGTGTGCCCATGGCCACAATCCCTCTGTTCAGTGTCCTCACCTCTACAATGGGCCAGTCGGAACACTGAGGAATGAGGCAACATGGATGTAAAGGGCCCAGCCAGTGCCCAGCACAGGGGTCGCGTTGAAGAAATGGAAGTCCCTGAAGCTGGGACAGCCCTGGACCCTGTGTCCCCTCCCACCACCCAGCCCCAACTTGCCTGTCCAGGCGGATCTTCTTCCTGGCACTGGCCTCTCGGTACCGCCGCTCACCGTCCTAGGGAGAGAAACAAGAACAGACTATGGTACAGCTGGGACAATCAGCTTTCCCCCAACCCCTGTCACTGTCTGACCCCCACCACACACACAAGGGCCCAAGGAGGCCCTGCAACCCTGAGGTATTCAAGCCCCACTGGGGCAGTGGAGTCAAAGCAACCTGGACAGAAACATGCCAGGTCACTGAGCTCCAGCCCCAGCTTCCCCTCAGACTCTGAGTGAATCCGAGAATATCACCTGCCTTCACTGGACCTCAGTTTCCTCCTCAGTAGAAGGGGATCCCTAAGGGCACCTATCATGGTAATAGGAACCCACATTTATTGAGCACTTGTGTATCAGGCATTCATCTAAAGTACTTTCCATGCAAAATTTCACTTAAGCCTCACAGCACCCTTCTGAGGTTGGGACTAGCACAATCCAATTTTACAGAGAAGGAAACTGAGGCACAGAAAGGTTAAGTGACTTGCCCAAGGTCACAGGGGTAAGGAGTAGAGCCAGGAACAGAACACTGATGGCCTGACTCAGAGCCTGGCCTCTTAACTTCTAATGTGACCCCACTTGTGAGCATTAACTGGCAAAGGCCTAAAAGGCATCTGAAGCCTGTACACAGTACCACCCGCCTGCTAGGCTCCCCACTCCTCCACCCACCACACACTCTTGACTGCCTGATACCCAGCTATGGAGCGGGGAATTTCACAGCCTACACTCAGCCCTAGGAGGCAGGCAGGCAGGGCAGGGACCTTCCCAGAGAGAGGGAACAGCCTCTCCAAGGTCACTCCCTGGCCCTCCAGAAGCAAGCCTGGCCTGGCCCAATGGAGGCACAAGGGAACATTATTTTAAGGGACAGCCTTTGAACCCAGGCCCTGATTCTCATCCCTGCCTCTTTGTTCTCCTGTCACAATTGTCATAACAGTCACCACTTCCTGAATGTCTGCAGGACTTACCTAGGAATAGGATCAATATCCAGTAGATTGCCCCAGCCCTGGGAGACCTGGGGCACCTACTTTACAGGTGGGGACCAAAAGTTCACAGAAGGCACCCACTAGAATGCAGCAGAGCTGGTTCCAACCCACATCTGATCCCAAAGCCAGTGCTCTTCCAACTCTGTGAACACCCACTATGAGCCAGGCCCACACACGTGGTCTGAATTCTTTCAAGCAAAACAAGGTTCCCACCTGACACAAGGGGCATTTCCAGGGGCCACACCAGTGCACTCAGCACTGGCTGTGCCCCACCCAGCAGAGGGGCAAGGCTGGGCTGGGCCTGTTGCTCTCGGGGGCCTATCAGGGGCTGGCAGGCACCCCCACTCTAAGCAGAGAAGGAGGGGAGCTGGTGGAAAGGCAGGGTGCTGCACCCACTCACCCCAGGCTGGGGCCGAATCCAGGGCAGCATCCGGGGCTGGTCATCTGCGTCCAGAACCACGAAGGTCATGAAGGCGCTGTTGATGTGCCGCCGCTGGGTCTCGGCCTCCTGGCGGTAGGCCTCCACACACACGCCCACTTCCATGCTGAGGGGAGGGAGGGCTGCTCTCACGCTGGACAGGCCTTCCGGAGACCACGCCCCCCTCCCCAACACACACGCACATGTGCACGCACACACGTGCATTCCTCCAGTTCTTCCTGGGTCAGAGCCTCACTGGCAGGAGACCCAGAACTGTTCCCTTTCGTCAGTGTTTATAGAGCACCTACTGCAAACCTGACCCTACGTCAGTCACTGGGGACACAAAAATGAATAAGCCTGTCTGGTCCATGTCCTTGTGGGTTAACACCTGGGGGGGCGTGGCCACAAACATATATATATATACACACACACATACACAGACATATAAATACAATGATAGTATGTTATGGGAATATATTATGGAAGAATATAAGCAAGGAGGTGAAGGTACAGAGCCCAATTAGAAAAAATGTTCATTATACACACAATCGCCAGCCCTCTAACAGCTCAGGGGCTGCTGTCTCTATTTGACTGTCTTTATTAATTATCAAATAGCAGCCACCACCATCTCCCTCAGTGAAGAAGGTCTTGATCCCAGAATGTAGATATTATACAGATGGGGACACCAAGACCTAGAACTGGGCAATATCTTGCCCAAAGTCACACAGCTAGTAAGTCAAGAAAGAATCTGGACTAGAAAGCAGCCCAAGCAGCTCCTTGTTCAGGGCTTTTCCTCCATGTGGCAGCAGACTATATGCCGGTCAGACTGTAAATAATAATAATAACAGCAACAGCAACAGCTGACCTTCTTTGGACATTTTCTCTGGCATTCTACTAATAACATGTCATTGAATCCTTAAACTATAAGATAGTTGTGGTGAGCCCCATTTTCCAGATAAATGAACTAAGGCTCAGAGGGGTTAAGTAACTTGCCCAAAGTTACACAGTTAGTAAGAGGTGAGCCAAACTTGAACCCGGGCAGCCTGGCTCCAGATCCTCCGCATTTATCAACTACACTATGATCTTTGAAATCACCAAAAAAGATATTTAAAGTAAGCTTTCATGGGAGTAGGTGTCCGGATTCATTTCAAAGGTTAGGGCTCTGGGAACTGTTTTGTTTTAGGCAAAAGGTGGGAAAAGGTCAGATGACAACAGAATACTGGCAAGAGGCGACCCTGTCATCTACAGTGTGGCAGGCCAGGAGGCAGGAGCCGGGGAGAGAGACACATAATGAACGCGTGGTATGATCCAAGACAGCAGGAGACACAAGGTTAGGGACCTCAGAGGAAGGAACATCACAACTGAATCTTGGTGAAGGTGAAAGGACCCAGTCACAGGGCAGGGTTTAAACCTCGTCTACAGAGCAAAGGATTCCTGGCAGGTTTGCAGTAGGGTCCCTTCTCAGGTAAGGAAGACCCCCCAGCTCCCAGACACCCCAGTCCTCCCCATCCCAGCCCCTCACCTATGTTTGAAAGAGTTGTTCACAATGGCCTTGAGCACCAGGCGGTCCCCAACCTGGGATGGTCCCCGGAAGTGAAACATCTCAATGGCTTTCAGCGTAGGGTGGGCACGACACAGCCGGCTGGAGGGGGCCAGGGGATGGGGACAGGAGAAATGCCCCTAGTGCTTCAGCCACTATCTTGAGCCAGCTTCTACCCCTACTCCCATCCCCAGAGCCAGGCAAAACCACATGTACCATCTTCAGGCCCACCCACTCCCACCCAGTGACAGTTCTACCCAGAGGAATAGAACTAAGTCCCATTTCAGAGCTTAGAATACTGAGGTCTATGTGCATGGCTGGAGAGCAGCTGAGTTTGAGGTGACAGAAGAAAGCCTAGGGAAGGTCTTAGGGTAATCCCTACCCCATTTTCCTTCCAATCTTTTCATCTTAGCACCTGCTGTCCCTACTACCTGGAAGTCCTCCCATTACCCAAAGCTACTTGTCATTCAAGGCCCAGCTGAAGTGCTCTTCCTCCAGGAAGCTTTCCCTGACCATCCAGACTCTGACTTTCCTCATAGTTTGCGCTGCCCAAAAGGGCATTGCTTATGCCTTGTGGTTAAGGGAAGGAGGGAAGAAAGGAGTGGAGGCATACGCAGCACACTCTCTGCTCACCTGGCTGCAATGGTGGCCACATTCTCCATCCAGGCCATGATCTGGCCCCCGAAAGTATTGCCCTGGTGATTGGCATGGGGAGGCAGGACCAGCTCCACACTCTCCACGCGGGTCTTCTCGGCTGGCACCACGTGGCTGCAGTCTCTGCTTTCCAGATCTGACCAAGGAGGGACCGAGGGAGGGGGGAGGTGAGAAGCTTCCCAAGGGCAGACCCTCCCCCTGGGCAACCCAGGGACCCTCCACCACCACTCCACTCCACCCACATCCTTTTATTCACTCAGCACCAAGGGTGCTGAACCTACATGAGGAATGGGAGGAAGGTGGATGAGAGAGGCGAGGCTGGCACAAGCAGGGGGCAGAATACTAGCTTTGAGACAACACACATCTGGGTCTGCACCTTGGCTCCACCCCACACAGGCTGTATGACCTTGAGCAAGGCAAATACCCTCCCTGAGCTTCAATTTCCTCATCGGCAAGGGGCAGACGTCAAACTCAACTCAGTAGGACTATGAAGATGAAATGTGATCTCAGTTCTAGAGTGCCTGGCACCAAACTCAGTAGACACACTCTCAAGAAGGATAGCTCTGCCCTGGCCGGCATGCTCACTGAGCAGTGGTTAGAGCATGGTCCACACACTGTAGGGTCACGGGTTCAATTCCCAGACAAGGGCACATAATTGGGTTGCAGATTCAATCCTCAGCCTCAGTCAGGGCATGTGCAGGAGGCAACCTATCAATGTGTGTCTCACATCGATGTTTCTCTCTCTCTCCCCCACCCTCTCCCTTCCACCCTCTCTAAAAATCAATGGAAAAAATATTCTCAGGTGAAGATTAACAAAAACAAAAAACAAACAAAAGGAGGGATAGTTCTTCCCTCCTCCTGCTCTGACATGCCCTGTCCCTCAGGTGCATGGCATTAGGACATGCTCAGCAGGAGAGGCCAGAAAGGTAAGGGAATCAGATGCCGACCATGACCCACCCAACCCAAGGAAGTGCCATCTCCCAGGGAGAAAGACCTCGCCAGGGAGGGCCCATCAAATAGGCAACATTTTGCTTGGCTTGCAGGCTGCTCAGAGATGCCACAGGCAGGGAACAGGGGAGGTTACAGGCCTGAGCCAAGATCTGGAGGCAAGGTGGCAGGACAGTCATAGTCACAGTCACAGGGAGCATCCAGGCCTTGGCTCAGCTGGAGCAAAGGGTAAGTAAGGGACAGCACCAGAGGAGGCTGAGCAGTCAGCCAAGGGCCTGGATGCCAGGCTAGGGCCTTTGGACTGACCCCTGGGCAGAAGGGCTGTCGGGACAGGAGGGATTTTAGAGGGCTGCAGTGGGATGGATGGGTCCAGGGGGCCTTGACTACAGTAGGGAGAGCTGGACCTGCCCAGCCACAGCCCTCAGGCCCAGAAAGGGAGCACAGAGCTCCAAGCACAGCCCACTGCTTTTACTGGGATTAGTTAGTTCCTCCTACACCCCTCCCCACTCTGGGCAGCTGAACTATTTTTGACTTGTCCTAAAATTGCCTCCTTGAAGTTTCAGGGAAGACTCCACATCCTTATGTTCTGGAGATCAGGGAGCAAATCCAAGGTCACGTCTCTGACCCTTTGTCCAGCCTACGCACTGTGTCAGGAATACCTTTCCTTCTCTCTCTACCTGTCAAAATCCTCCCAGTCCACAGTAGACCCGAGTGTGCTGGTACAGAACAATCTCCAAGACGCACTTTTAAAGGGGAAGAGGCAAGATACAGAACAGTATGTACTGTGCGTTCCCTTTGGGCAAAAGAGGGGGCAAAATAATACATAGTGGGCTTAATACGCAGGGAATGCTTCTGGAAAGATGCCCCAAAATGAGGAACAGTAGGTGCCTCTGGAGGGGACCTGGGTTCTGGGGTAAGAGAGTCTTGTTTCTATTCTATCTCTAGCTCTAACTCTATCTCTAGGCCTACACTTACACCTATACCTACATCTATATCTACCTACCTACCTACATGCTTTTTAAAAATCCTAGAGTCTTCAAGGCCAAGCTCAATACTATCTTCCCAAAGACCTTCTTAAATCCTAGAGATCCAAATGCACTTTGTGGATAACAAAGCGTTTTCCTCATGGCTGCTGGGAGCTAGGCAAGAGGCACTCCCATTTCCCTGAAGGAGACTTGAGGCAAGAGTGAGGCCATCAGTGGGTAGACATCCCAAGGAAATACCTCTCCTCCCTCTGTCCAGGGGAGACCAGGGCCGAAGGGGGACACCAGCCGCCCTCCTCTCCCCAGCCACTCACCGTACTGAATGGCGCAGTTGGCCAGGAGGTCCTTGATGGTGTCCGCGTAGACCAGCCGCATGCGCCGGCGCTCGGCTGCCACGCTGTGCTCAGTCTTCTCCTCCTCCGTCCGTGGCGTGATCTGCTTCAGCTTCACCTGTGGGCAGGGGTGGGGTGGGAGATGCTCGGGACAGGTTCCCTGAAGTAGCACGAGGGCCTGTCCCCCCAGCCGCCATCTCACTTCTGAGGCTGCTGGATGGTTACAACTCTTTGTCCCTTCTTTGTCCCCACTTTCCTGTCTCCATATTGACTGATACATCATATTCATCCTCCAAATGACCCCAGGCTCCCTTCTGGGGTAAAGGCACAGGGGACAGGTAGGGGTCACTGCAGGGTGTGAAAGCGAATGGTGAGACCTGAAGAATCCTCATGTGAGATGCGCAGGGAGAAGTGGGGAAAAGGAGAGAGGGAGGGTGCCTGGGGCCGGGTGGCAGTGGGGGATGGGCCTTCCTCTAGGGGCTGTGGATTCCCTGCCACATCCCCACCTCCACCCCTGTGCCAAACCCCAGCCTCAACACCCTGGCCCAGGCCCATGATGACTGGCAGCCAGGTGGCCCAGCAGCCTTGAGCAGCCAGGTGTAGCCACCTACCTTGGAGAGCTCACGGTGGGCCACAAAGGTGGCCAAGGCCTTGCACACGCTCCACTGCTTCTCAGAGCATGTGTCCTCGGAGGCCACCTGGATGCCCACCTGGGAAGGAAGAGTAGGCAAAGGAGGGAGGAGAGAAGAAATGGAGCTCACAAACCTGAGGCCCACAGCCCAGTGACATAGGAAGTCCCACCCCAGGTCTAGCCTGAACTATTTCTGTATCTCCCACCAAGTCTAGGAAGCTAGAGACCTGGGGTAGGTTCTGATTCTGCCCTGCCTCCTTGGGAAACTTTAGGCAGTCGCTTCCCTTCTCTGGGCCTCAGTTTCCTCATCTGTAAAGTGGGGTTGACTATATCCACCCTGTCAGGGCTATTGAGAGGATTAACATGAGACTGTATCTATGAAAGGGCTTAAGGTAAGTAAAGCGTTGGCGAAATTGAAAGGATAGACATATGGGGGGTACCTGGGGGCTGCCTGGGCATTTATGGGGTTCCCAGAGGCAAAGATAGGACTGGGTGAAGTTGCCTCCATCTGATGTCCATGGGTGGTAAACAGAGTCCCTCCCCCACAGCTCACAGAGCCCTGTGCATCACCAGGAGTCCTTAAACAACCCTGAGGCATAGAAATCATGCTCCCACTTTACACATGGGGAGACAGAGTCTGTGGGAGGTAAGCTAATGGACTGAAGTCCAGTGCTCTCCCTGCTCTAGCCCCACTGCCTCCGGGTCCAGGTATAGCAACTGTCATCCTCGCATTTCCACAGGCACCTGGCTGCTGAAGACGGGGTCTGAGTCTAGGCGTAAAGATCCAGGAGGCCAGAAGTTAAGTCCCACATTGGGGTCTGTGTGGCTTGGTGACCTGGGGCAAACCCCTTCCCCTCCCTGGGCCTCAGTTTTCCCTTCTGTGTTATGGGGTGTTGGACAGGAATATCCTTAGGATCCACTCAGCCCTGCCAGCTGCCTCAACCAGGGCTTTGCGAGTGTGAGTATGCCTGGGCTGAGGGCTGAGAATGGAGAGGAGGCAGAAAACCCACCCAGCACCCACACATCCTCAGGCAGTGCCTGCCCCACACACCTCCATGCTGGTGTTGAAGGCCCGGTTCACCTTGGCCTTGATATTCACCACTTGTCCAACTCTGGGAGAGAAAAGCAGGAGGTGAGCCTTCCAGAAGGGACAGAGGGAGGGAACGGGGCCCCAGATACTTGCAGGACCTCTGCTGAGGGGAACTGGCAGGAGAATGTCAGTTTACAGAGCATATTCACATATGGATGTCACCTAAGTCCTCAAAGCAAGCCAAGTAAGAGTGTTAGCAGCCCTTTTATAGGAGGGGAGCTGAACCTGAGATAAGTGGAATGATTTCATTTATCTGCCTCCTCTCCTCGACTTCCCCTTGCCCAATGAATACTCAAGCTTATGTTTGCTCTCTGCTTACCGGTCCCCTCTTCAGGGAAGCCCTCCCTGCCCCCCTGAAGTATTAGAAGGTTCACCTTCCTAATACTTCTCCCAGCAGATGGGCTTCTGTCTCCCCCACAATCCCTAAACTCCACTGGGACAAGGCCTAGCACAGGGCACAGGGCACAGGGCACAGGGCACAGGGCAGTTCTCCCATAAATAGTGGCCACTAAATTAATACATTCCAACATTATTGCATCAACATTGGTTCATCAATTGTGACAGAGGTACCACAACATGAATGTAAAATGCTAATAGAGGGTCTGGATGTGGGGTATATGTGAACTCTCTACAGCCATTTTATAAATCAAAAACTAATCTAAAATAAAAATATTTAGAAAAAGTATTACAAAGAACCCATATGTCAGAGACCATTATTAGCATGAAACTTACCCCTATGAATTGAAATTATGTTTCTATATCTGCCTCCCTGCAGTATGGGCACTCCCAGGTCACAGGGGCTACGCTCCAGGTGACCTTGTATACCATGGGCCCTGGTCCGGAAAAGGTGCCAGTAGTGATGAATGACTAAAGAGTGAATACAGAGACTGGCCAAACATTTTCCTTAACCACAACACTCTGGGCACCAAGGAAGTCCTGAATAAGCCCTTGGCACTTGATATTCTAGGCAATGATGGAGAGTTTAGGAGCCCAGTGGCAAGAGCACTGTAAGCAATCCCAACAGTCTATCTTAGGCTGAGGGCTTGGCATGGTCCTTGGGTCCCAGCAAAGCTCTGCAGAGACAAGGCTCAACACAATGTAATGAAGAGCTTTCTAACCAGTACAAAAACAAAACAAAACAAAAAAACTGTGAGGTAGTGAGCTTCTCATCCTGGAGGTATGGGAGCAGAGATTAAATGACCCAAGCTTCTGACTCAGGCTTGCCAAGGCTCCTTATCTAGGGGCCTCGCTACAGTCCAGGTACCAGTGACCTAGAGAGAATGTCTGAGATCAAAAAGGCATCCACTGATTAAGTCTAATGCCTTCCATTTTGCAGATAAGAAAACTGAGGCCCAGAGAAAAAGTCTGACTTCACCAAACTCACACAGAACCCCATGATGCTGCCTGGGCAACATCCAACTCAAATTTGAAGCAACTTCCTAGGTTCCGCACTGGCTGGGGGAACTCACCCTACAGCAACTAAGAGCAAGCCAGCTCGCACCCACCACTGTCCCAGAGACCCTGCTGATGGGTCATTGCTTCCCAGAGGCTTCCCCCACTCCATCTGCAAAGGCCATCAGGTTCCAGGCAGGAGAGACAGGGGAGGGGCCCCTAGGCTTGTGGTGGGGAGTACAGAAATACCTAGAGGCAGGAGGGGCCACTTACCTAATGGTGTGCTCAAAATAGATATCGTCCATGGAGGCGGTGACGCAGGGACAGCCAGCATGCCTCTCCGCTGGCATCAGGAGAAGAAAACCATGTGTTAGCAGCCTCCCACATTACGCAGGCCTCTGATCAGATGTCAGACCTCCCGAGCTAAGGCCATGCCTCCGCACCCACAACCATCTCTACTTTTCTTCAAGGTTGCTGTGTCCTGCTTTATATACTTGGTTTTTGTCTGTCTAGTAACTCTCCCTTCTATTCAACTGCAAGCTCCTCGAGGGCAAGAATTTTTGCCTGCCTCATTCATTGCCGTACCCCAGTCCCAGAAGGGTGTCTGGCACATAGTAGACACTCAATAAGTAGCTGTCGAATAAATGAATGGTCACACCATGCTATGCTACCTCCTGGCCTTCTAGAGTGCCTGCACGACTGCCCAGTCACCTTCACCCACCTTTGTTTACTTGCCTGAGTCATTCTCACCCTCAGGACTCTGCTCACATGCCTTTGTCCCTCTAGAATCTCTTCCTTCTGTCCCCAGGGTTTGGTAACAGCCTCTGGACTGTTCTCCCACAGCCCCAATTTCACCTTCCTTTCCCAGTCCCCATAAAACAGTGCTGGGGGTCAGCTGGGTCACCTGTCTGTCTCCCCATCAGACTGTGAGCTCCCCATAGGTTGGAGAATATTGGGACATCAAAGCGATGAAATGAGTTCAACTCAACTTAATGCAGGGAGCTCTTTATGGCAGACAGCACGGTACTTGCTCACAGCACGGCTAAGCCAGTCGTGGAACAGCCACATTTGAGGCCGTGCTGTGTTGGAGCAGGGACCTAAGGGCACTCAAAGCTGGGGCTTTAGGGGGAGAGGGTGGGCCAGAGCTGAGCATCGAGAAATGGGAGGGGGCGTTGCAGGCAGGCAGGCTGGGCTGAGGGACGAGTGTGGTACTCAGGGAGACAGCGACCATCTCAGCAAAATTGAGGCCTGTCCTCTGGGTGTGTGGGCCAGTGGGTGGGAGGATGGCTGTGCCGATCGCAGTCTCACCAGACAGGCAGGCCGTGGTGTCGATCCATTTGAGCAGCTGCCCGATGCTCAGCTCGCCTCGCTGATTGGTGTGGCAGGGCAGCACCAGCTGGCTCATCTGCACCTCTGTGGGGTTCCGGTACTCCTCGCCATCTGCCATGGCGCCGTCCTTGTTCTCTGCACGTGAGGTTGACTTGCGGGACTGACGGTTCGAGAACACAGAGGCCAAGCCCTGGGGAACAGGTGGGGTCAGGGAGGTGAGCCCACTGCAGGGTCCCCTGGGTCTGCCCATCCCTGAGACCTGAGGGCTAGAGGGAGAACAGAGAACCCCAGGGCCACCTCCCACCAGACCCCAACTCCAAGAGTGGTCACCACCCTCCAGCCCATAGCTCAGACCCCAGGGGGCAATCTGGATGTCATTTATGCCCAGGTTCCTTTTAGCCAACAACTTCATGTTGACATGACCTGGGACCGGAGGGAGAAGGAGGGGAGAGGGGAATCTGCAGAGAACTCAGTCCTCCCTGCTTCAGCTCATGGGTCGGCTTTTTCAAGTTTTGCCTCTGAATGACCTTCATGCTTGAAAGATTCCCCATCTGTGCAGAGGCCCCATGAGCCTTCTGGCAGGCAAGCCTGGGGATTTGTTCCCAACAAAGTCTTTCAAGAAGCAGCTCCTATTTCATCCCCCAAGGGCCCCTTCCTGGGCTCCTTGTTCTTCAGATGACACCTCTGTTGGGTGCTCATTTGTCTTTCGCACTTAGCTCTACTGACTGGGAGGGCTCTGGGCAGTCCCTGAGCAGCTGTGTGATCCAGGCCAGGGCTCCAGCAGCTGCCAGCTGGAGAACCAGCTGAGAAAATCCTCAAACTCATTAATTAGAGGTGGAGTTTCTGCCCGGGGCCTAGCTTTTCTTAGTGCCCAGGCAGAAGAGGTGGTTTGGATGCCTAGCAGTCCCTTGGATAGGGAGGGATGGAGAAGATGAAGCCAAAGTGGCATCCCTTCTCTCTGGCCGGCTCTCCCTAATCAGACTGTGAGCAAGAGCTGGGCACACCTGCATGTGCAAGAAAGGTGACAGGAGGGGCAGGCAGGAGTTCCATTCTCAGGGCCAATACCAAGTGTGGTGATAACAGTTGCGGTCAACATTTATATATCACTTATTAAACATCAAGCACTCTTCTAAGCACTTTCCATGTACTAATTCAATTTTATCCGCACAACAAACCCCTGAGGTAGGTTCATTATTACCCTCACTTCACAGTTGAGGAGACTGAGGCCCAAGTAAGAGGCAAAGCTTAGCTTGACCCCAGGGCTCTGGATGCAGTTTGAGGTCCTACCCACCACACAGCACTGCCTGCAGGGACTCCTGGAGCCGAGATAAGAAGGAAGCTGGATTCAGCAGAAGAGAGTGCCATGAGATCCGATGCTGACCCTGCCATTGCTCAGAAGGGGGCAGTGACAGCCCTCACACATGAAGTGTGTACTCCTTGGATAATTCTCCCCATGAGACTCCGTAGCTATTCAATAAATTCAAAACACACCATGACTGGTTCAAGGTTGCTGACTTAAACTCAGATTTGAACCAGGTCTGTCTGACCCAGAACAGCTTGTGGGTCCCCAGAGAGGCAGCTCATTCCCAAAAGCCCCTCGGTACCAGGTACAATGCTGGGCACTGAGGAGAGAGAGAGGAGGGCAGCCATTCCAGGAACTCTCAGTGTAGGTGGAAGCTTTCAAGGTGCCAGGCTGCCAGGCTTGCAGGATCTTGCAGGCATCTCGCAGGCCTTGTGGTCTAAGCAGGACTATCACCATGGTAACCACTGCCAAGGCATTTTCCAGCCTGGTGTGCACTGGGGGCCTGCATGGATGCGGATACGGGTGGCTGCCTTTCTGGGTGTGGGAGACGGGAGAGGGAGGAAGCAGGCAGACTCTGTTCACCTACACTCTTCCCAAACCCCTCCCACAGCCAGGGGTTCTGCCCAGCATATTCCAGAAAGAAGCCTGAAGAAAGCTAGGGAGATGGGGGAGGCAAGACGCACAGGGTAAGCGGGAAGAAGAAAGGGAGCAGACATGTGGGGTTTCTGGGCAGTTCTGGGCATGCACACATAATGTCCTTGCTTCACAAGCCTATTTTCACATCCACTGCTTCGGGGATCCTCACAAGGAAGGCAGACCCCATTTTTACAGTTGAGGAAAGTGAGGATGGAAAAAGACCTAGGCCAGAAGTCAGGACACCTGCGTTCTAATCCTCTCTCTGCTTCTCACCTGGTCAAACCCCACCCCCACCAGCCCCCTATTTCCTGTTCTATAAAAAGGAGTCCCTACCTTCCCAATGGACTCTATATGCCTGAAGGCAGGATCTTTGCCTCATTCATTCATTTATTCATTCATTCATTCACCCAGCACACTAGGCCCTGTGCCCAACATTGAAAATGCAAAAGTAAATCGGGCCAATCCTTTTGAGAAGCTCCTGCTCTGGTGCTCATGTCTAGAAGGGTCTGCAGTAGGACCTCATCGAAGGTTTGTGGAGGGACAAGCAGAGACAGGCTTGAGTTCAAATCCTAGCCCTGTCCCTCAGGTGCTACGTGATCCTGAGCAAGTCCCCTCTCCTCCTGAACCTCATCTATCACTCACAAGGCTGGCAGGGACAGTGGGAGATTGTCAATACCCAAAGTATCCCCAGCCCTGGGTTCCTGGATTCTGGGGTTTAACCCTGAATGGCTCTGGCATGCCTGGCTGAAATTTCCAGTGAGGAAGCTAAGGAGCCCTGTCACCCTGTCAGACAGTAAATACTGAGCTCCTCTAAGCAGGGCCGAGCTCCCACCTCCCCACCCCCTATAAGCTGTGGGATAAGCCCCACTATGGCTATCTCCCCACTCCCCTCAAAGAGAAGGGTGCAGAGCCCTTAGGCTGTAGCACCAGCGTAGGGGACAAAGCAGCACCGGGATACGGCCCCTCAGACTCCAACTCATTCCTTGGCTCCGAGACAGCCTGCCCACGTCAGGCCAGGCCAGGCCAGGCCTCCTTCTTGTCCCAGGGTGGGCAGGCAGCCAGCCAGCCTGGGAGGCAAAGGAGTGTGCAGGAGGGTTTGGCCAATGGGGCCCTAGAGCTGGGCCACTCCTCCCAGGGCCAGTCTCAGAGAACGCAGAGGTCCTGGCTAGAGTCAGGTCCTGGGGTGGCCAGGCAGGCTGAGCCAAGACAGCTGACAGAAAGGGCAGAGCCCACTACAAAGGTGGGGTCAGAGACGTGCCCTCTCAGAAGGCAGCCGTGCCAGGCTCTGGCCCCCTGCCATAGCAGAACTGGCCAGATTAGATAATTCCAGTCTAGGCCTCAGCTGGCTACACTACAGGTTCTGTGTCCCTCCTTCTGGGCCAGTTATGTCACAGGCCTGCTGGTCAAAGCAGGAAGAGGCCACTTTGCCCAATCCCTTCATTGATGGGGAGACTGAGGCACAGGGAAAGAAAGGCCAGTCCAGGGTCCCACAGCTGGGGAACCAGGATGAGCCCTCCTAGGCTGGGGCTCCTTCAAGGCAGTTTGACCACAGCCCCACACTAACGCACATGGCCTGGATTTCCCCCCTCCCCCAATAAGCCAGGGAACAGGGATCCAACCCCTTGAAGCTCTCAGCCTACCCCACTGCCCTGGTGCTTGATGCCCCGCACTGAGGCTTGCTGGACTCCTTCCATAGCCTGTTCACAGGCCTCCTGTCTCCCTCCATCTCCTTCTGGCCTCCACACAGCACCAAATGGATATTCCCCAAAAACAGATCCACAGACTCAACAACCATAACTTACTGTGTCCGGCCTGGCAGGAGACCAGGTCCAGCCCTTGTAACTCCTCCCACCATAGGAATTTGTTCTGTCCCTTAGGTCCACACAGACCTGTCTAAATAGTAAGCCTGATCAGACACCTCCCCCCCTGCTCCATACTCGACAGCTCCCTACTGCTCTCGGGGTCAAGGTCCTACTCTGGCCCCTGCCACAGTGCTCAGTCCCTGCCCTGCCAGCTCAACCACAGGTGGTTCCTCAGAGCACCACGCTCATCTGCCTCCATTCCTCCGCCACGCGGGTGCTGCTTCTGCCCAGGATCCCTTTTTCTTCCACGTCTGCCAGGTGAGTCCTTTCTCCTTCTTCAAGTCGCACCATCCCTGCCTCTTCCCAGCCCCCACAGCCTCGCCTCTCCATCACAGCACTGACAAGCTGTGCAGTCACTGTGTTCACAGACGCTTCTCCCATCAGGCAGGTTTTCCCACAGGACAAGGGCAGAGTCAGGCCTGGCACAGAGCAGGTGCCGAATAAACACCTATGGAAGAGGCTAATGACAGGGGTCACCTTGGAGCTGAGGCTTGGAGATGAGGAAGGTGTGAGGTGCAAACAGGACGTGAAGACAGCACAAAGGACAAGCAGGAACAGTGGTGCCTCAGTAATGGGAACAGCGTGGCAAAGGAAAGCCTGAAGCAAAGTACTAGGTACCTGTGTGGATGGAGACAGAGGGAACAGGGCCAAGGAGTCCCCCAAAACCATGGAAGACTCCTGGAGAGGTGTGTGGCCTACAGTGACTACCCAGAACAGGAGACAGCCAGCAGAGAGATCTCAATGCCTGCAGGAGCCATCAGGAACAGCAGGAGGAGAGCAGGCGAGACTCACCTGCCCTGGTGGGAAGAAGCAGGCTTGGGCGACCTCTCAACTTCCCATAACAGACAGGCCTTGGAAGTTGACCTGGTCAGGGTTCAAATCTGGTTCCACAACTTACTTGTGTGACCTCAGGGCAAGATGCTCAACTTCTGTGGGCCTTAGTTTCCTCATCTATAAAAATGGAGTTTTAATATCTACCTCCTGAGGTCATCCTAAGGATGAAACTAAATGAGACCAAGGATTTAAAGTTCCTAGCATGTGCCCGCCATTTGGCTAACATCTGTTGGGCACATACTGTTAGTATTATAAAGCTGAGTTCAGGCTTCCCACAGAAACACAGCTGGGAAAAATCCAAATATAATTCACACTGGACTTTACACAGCCTATTCTCACCTATGAGCTCACCAGAACTTCATGGTGACTGTCAAGGGGCAAGATTATTAGACCATTTGTGAGGTCCTGTGAGAATTCAAAAAGCCATTGACATTGGAGCCAGGACTCAAGCCCAAGGTATGAAACTGAAAGCCCCTGTTCCTCTCACTCTCCAGCCTCGCTACTGCAGAGTAGGTGGGGACTAAAATGCAGGCTTAGGCGGCAGGGTAAAGCAGC